ACAGGTCGATCAGTTGCTCCAGTGGACGACAGCGAATGCTTAAAACTCTGCGCCTAACCTCACCATTGTTCGTCCGGTTACCCCACCAGAGTCGTGCAATGCGACTTAGACAGCGGTGGTCGAACACCGACAATTTATTTTTGTCCTATTCCCGTAGTGGCCATACCGTATAGCAGAACTGGCCAAACTGCTGCAGCATACACTCGACCCTTCACATACAGCCGGATGTCGCGACGGCGCCACAGATATCTCAAGTTGGCAAATGCCAACTGAACCTTCTGTATGCGAGCGGNCAAAACTTATCCACTACTCTATTACTTCCCCAGTTACAGTGATCCTGAGTGCTGGACCAACCCATTCTTTGAGTAACATTTTGCGCTTTGAAGATGCAAAACGCATACCGAACGTGGCTACACTGGCATTCAAGCTGCCCAGAAAAGCCTGCAACTTACCTGCATCTTCACTTAGCAGCACAATGTCGTCTGCATACTCTAGATCAGACAGCCTGCCACTCGGGAGTAAGTCTATGCCGTTGTCTTCGCACGAGGATAGGGCTGTTTCAAGAATTAAATCTGTCACGAAGTTAAATAGAAAAGGAGAGAGTCAACTCTATTGAACACCTCTTTCTGTCGGTCACTCAGGCTAACTAGTGCCGTAACCTCAGACTCGGCTTCGGTTATTGGTATAAAGGGATTGTATTATTGAAATAAACTTATTGGGCACACCTTTCGGAGTGAGGCGGCGCCAGAGTTTAGACCGGTCGACTCAGTCAAAAGCCTCTTCCAGATCGAGGAAGATAGAAATGGTGGGTCTATGAAAGGAGTGCCTGTGTTCTGGAATTTGACAAATAGTGAAGATGTAGTCGATACAATCTCAACCAGGTCTAAAACCAGCCTGGTTCTCACGTGTGCACCGTTCATGTACGGTAAATAATTGACGGAGTATAATACCAGGGAAAATTTTAAAGATACCTGGGGATAGCCAATATGTACTTGCATTGCTTCAACACACTGCAAATGAATGAAAAATATTGCCCATATTTTTACCTCTATAGTCTCAGTAGCACGATAGCTGAAGCATACGGATGAAAAAATGTAATTTCTTTGGTGTGGTCGATGGTTCCCATTGAACGAGGAAATATCGCTGAAAAATTATAGCACTTGGCACCGCATCTAGGTAATATGCTACGGTTAGTGTTTGATTTAGATCACTGAAATTACTGGGCGACAGAGATTGCGTCACCTGTTAGGTTCCGTATGCCTCTGTAGGTCGGGTGGGTGTTTTAAACAACATTAGGAGAGTACCCGAATCTACAGACTGCGACATTGGTACGGTAGAGGATTACCGGACATGTACCTGCCTTCTAACTAATGAGTTCAACTCATTTTTCTCTAAAAGAGAACATAGCAGATTTACATTGCATGCTGAAGATGCAAATTGGCCACTGCAAATCTGCTATGTCCCCTCCTCAAGTTCATTACTAGGAGAGTTATCTCCTTTTGTTGTTTGTTCTGACAACGATTTTCTCGCCAAATCACATGGTCATCATCATTGTTATGTCCTAACCTACCAGCATTCTACCTTATCCGCCACTTATCAGGAACCCGCACATTCGAACAATAGCGCTGCTCCGCCACCCATGTTATCGAACTCGGCCGGTTCTGGCGAGTCAACTGACTTCTGTGCCCCCGGTCCACTCAACACACAAATGGACGCACAAACTGGACTGTGTGCACGTTATGGTTACTTACTCACACGTTTGTGCACAGTGCCGAAAGACACCAGTCTGTTCGGCGCGTTTCTGGATATGTTTCGTCGCGCGGGGGACTGTCCAATTCGAACACGCCTCCTCCGACTTCGCTGCCCGCTCACGGTTGTAGAAGGCGGTTCCGGGCTGGGCGAATGGACCGGAGCCTATTCGTCCACATCAGTTGTACGTCGGTTTCAATTTGTCCAATAATTATTGTTTCTATCCTCTGGTTGCTTTCGGTGACTTATTTGGTCGAGTAATGCAAACGCGCCAACTTATGCAAGTGATCTAGAGTGGAACGATCAAATGTGCTGAGTCAGCGTTGAAGTCTGCATTGTATCTCGCACATACTGCTTTATCTATGGATTGATTTATCGCACTTTCTGAATGTGGATTGTTGTCTCTCTCTCTCTTACTCAATAACGGTTTTAATTTTGACGCTGTAATGTTCAAATGCTTGCCACAGGAATGGGAAGAACTCGGTCTGGACGTGCGTCGACGACTTCGTTTGGCGTTCGATTCCGAAGCGGAGTTTTGGATCCCCTTGCCAGACTTGTTGTGTCACATGGCCGGGGCGGTCATCTGTCGCATGCCCGAGACTGGTCTGATCAGTTTGAAAGGTCGAACATGGCAGTTAAACGAACACCACGGCGCGTGGCATGGACATCAGACTGGGGGCAGTATTCGCTATCGGGACACATTTCTAGACAATCCACAGGTCAGCTCCGCACTGCTTTGTGTTTGATCTTTAACGATGCGTTGAACGATTGACTGTCTGAGCGATCGGATGTCAAAAACAATGTTTCATTTGTCCGTTTCGTATGGCTTGTAGAATTCATCCTTCATTTCTGGCGAACTGCAATCGGTCGGTGCATACACGGATACATCGAATAAGCTCCGATGCTCTAGGTAACTGCGGTCGTCCACTGGAACGAGTGGTCGAACTCCATAGATTACGGTGGTTAGTTGTTTGCAAATGTCACCAAATAGGTTGCCACGGAGCGCGATGTTTGCCGGGGTAAATAGCTGCTGGAAAAAACCAAGGGCAGCCAAACTAAGACCTCGCATGTGGGTATGAAAACCTTAACCAGGACGCTGGGTCACATAGGCCTGGATAGGCTTCCAGGATGGGGACCCCGATATCATGATAACCGGTTAGAGATTCTGGGTATCGCAAACAGTGATGCTTGTGTACTTGCTCAGTATTCTTGCAACCGCAGTCTATCTTCCCTTCGGCTGTGCTTTTAACATTCTTCATTCTGCTGTTTTATCTAAATGGACAGCCAAAAGATAGCAACCGAAACCGGGGCATGGGAATGCATTAGTAATAACTTGTAAAAACCAAACTGAACTTCCTATCGCTTTGTCCGCTAACACGTGCTGTTTTCCGGTATCTTCAAGATACTCTATGTCCCATTATACTTTAGCATTCAGGTTGTTTTTAACTTTCTGATTTTAGTCATCTGTCACCCCCTCGGGTACAAGCGATTATGATTCAGAATCGTGGTTGGATGTTTCTCAAAACGCGACATTCAGTTGAAAATTGTTCATTATTTTCAAGCGATCCCCGTCTAAACTTGCAATGCGTTACATAGGCCATCACGACGAGACTGCACCTTAACATGGTGTGATGGCTTGTGCACCTCTGTGACTCAACGAGCTACACAGGATGGCTTTTGTCAAGCCGAAGATCTAATCATGCATGGAAGGTCGAAGGGTAGAGGTCAGGCGAAGTCCAGTCTCCTGGTCCTCCAGATTGGGGGTTCAACTAGAATTCGCGTTTCAGTCGGTAAAAAATGGTGGAGGAGTAGTTGATTCAAGTAAACGGGTCTCCACTTCGCTTCACCCGCTACCTTGCGGTTAGGTTCTTGTTAGAACTAAAGGCTTTGGTTGAGAACCCTAACCGTTCCCCTGGTTAGTGGCTGGACACGCTAGCAGTACCCGTCCATCAAACCCCAATGCATATGTTTGGATTAGCCATGACGATGAAAAACCAAAAACAAGTTTATTTTTTGGAGACGACGTTTCGACCCTCTTGGAAGGCCTTTATAAAGTCAATTAACAAGCGAACATGTGAGTCAACTGTGAAACAACCATTAATTGACTTGATAAAGGCCTTCCAAGAGGGTCGAAACGTCGTCACCAAAAAATAAACTTGTTTTTGGTTTTTTTCATCGTCATGGCTAATCCAAACGTTTTCCTTCACGGATCCAATACTATGAGCATGACGCACAATTACTTCAATAACATCCGTCCCAAATTTGGATCTGATATTGTGAAGCCCAATGCACATGCATTGCGAGTTTGACAGCAATCAGTGAAGCTCGCTTCCGTGTACTTCGCTGTACGATGATGATGATGATGATGCACTACATTTGGTGACGATAGTATTTAAAACAATTTGGCATGTACTCACTTTTTTACACAGACGTAGTTCATTTGCCTTCTCCCGCTTGGCACGGTGCTCAGTTTTCCAATTATTGCTCCGTCCGTGGTCGACCAAGTGGAGAATCGCAGCCACAATCGGCATGCGGAAAACCCGAACCTAAGCGGAATACACGATGACTCAAGTGTTGTATTCTCTAATGTGGAGGGGGGGATAGGACAGTACACATTGAGGTATATTAGACACCTTGGACGTTTGACCCCGTCCGAAAGGCGTATGATCCGATGAACGGGACACCGGCTCCCAATTGCTTGAGGTTTTCAAACCGCCCCGTTGCCCTTCGGGTCAGGTTTTGGCTATCTGAAGGCTCCGATTGTAGGTTACTCAAGAGAATTCGCCTGCCTTGGCCTGGGCAACCTGGCAGTATTCGGCCCACATGCAAATCGCGGAATGGTTTTCTTTTTATAAAGATTATTTTACTATGATTTGTTTGGCACACGGTACGGCCTCAGGCATGTGTGAAACATATATGTATGTATAGTACTGGCCGGTTGTGATGCACTAAAATATTTTCTTTCTGATCAAATTGAGTTTCATTACATTTATCACCTATATTAATGCTTTAGGTATGCACAATAATTTATCTCTTGTCTACTTCGATCTACGTAGGTTCTATGTTGCATAGTTGCCAATTAAACGTACGTGACCTTGGTTATCAAGATTAAATAATCTCGACATGAAAATCGCTAACTTTATCAAGTATGAAAACGCAAAATATTCTAATAGGAGCAACTCAAGAATTGTCCCAAATTATTTCCATGAACCCTTGCCATCTCGGTTATTTGTTATGAGGGATTATTTTATCTAATATATAATCCCTAATAACAACTCTTAACTCACCATGGTGTAGGTCAACCACTACTGACGAAATGGGAGTATCCGCTCCATTCTTAACCATTCCATCTGCTGAGTGTAAATGAATCAGGAAACTCATTGCTCTAAAGACTCACCAAAACTTTTTTATTATTATTTGGAAAAAAATTTACTTCAGTATAAATGCTGTTGCCCATACGAACCCAAGAGTGTTTCACAGGGACCCGTTGCTTCAGTTTCGGTTATATATATATATATATATATATATATATATT